AGGGCAGGGCCTGTCTTTCCTCCCAGGACAATGCACGTGCCCCTCACACGTCCTCTCCAGCAGACAGACATAGCAGGGACATCTCCCCTGGCCACTCGCAGCACAAAGGCTCCCTGAGACATTCGGATCACAGAGGAGTCCCAGTGCTGACTCTGCCTCCAATTCCTAAACAATGCGACGGCGCGGGTGTGGGACTGTATGAAGTGTAAGATTCTCTCAGAAAGACTCCTGGTGTGGTTTTGGTTTGGATTTTGGGGGAATTAAAAAAAAATCAGTCTTCTTCACTAAAAGTTGGCAAACGTGTTTTCAACTTGAGAATGTCTGAAACAGGCTGTTTTCTCTCATGGTAGAAGCTGAGTCCGGTGACATATTCCACATCTGCAACCCGTGCTCTGTGCAACTTGAACAACTCTTCAATCCATGCTGATTCGCTCTTCTCATGCTATGAAATGGAAAATAGAAAGGAAGGGTCACAAGAAAACAGGCAGCTCACACTCCCAGTCAGCTCTCCATCTCTCCCATGTCGTCTGTTATGCTATTTCAGAAATGGCAGCTGCCATAAGATTCTCTAGGCATCATCCCTATATTTGAGTAGCTCGCCTCTAAGGTAAGCATTCAAGCTTATTTAGTTCAATTGACTTTAGAAAGAAAGCAGAGCTCAACAGATAGGTATATATTAAAAAGAGACTGCAAGGGGCCAGGGAAATGGCTCAGTGGAATAAGTGCTTCCCTGGCAAGCGCAAAGGACTGAGTTCAATCCCCGGTTCCACCAAAAAAAAAAAAAAAAAGAGACTGCAAGAATCATTATTAATGTGGGGTTAAAAAACACTACCAGAAAACTAAGACTACAAGGTATGGCAGTACGAGTGTGGGAATTACTGTGATGAAACCTGGACACTCTCCTCTCATCTCTTAAAGGAGATGAGACCAGAAAAGAATTCTCTGACAACCCTCAGGTCAGCCCTGTACACTACTTCACACCTAGATCTTCGGTCCCTCACCTGTATCCCCTCCAGGGCAGACATGAGCCTCAAGGGTAATGATGCACACAACTGTGCTACACAAACACTAGCTTTTGTGAGAAGGCACTGTCAATGTAGTTGCATGAAAAATGGGGTCAGGAGAGTCGCAGAGCACAACTTCACTTACGCTGACAGGAAAAATCTTAGAGGAGATGAGACCAGAAAAGAATTAGAGGCTGAAATGCTGGCAAATGGAAGCAGAGGCGGCAGCTGAATCAGGTAGCAGAGATGGAAATCGTTACGTCCTTGTAGGCCCTGAAATGCGCCACTGTAGACTGTCAGGTAAAGAAAGTGTCCATGGCTGCTACTCTACGACTGTACTCTAAAAACATCTGCCCAAAATGGTCTGCAGACCCTCGGAACACTATTAGTTGAAAATGATAAATATAGACTTTTGTATACAAAACCAAGAACAGTTTGCACTTTCCCACAAGCCTCCAACTGCCAACCTCGTCACAGTGAAGTCTCTTTCCCTGCCACCACCCTTACTCCGGCAGCACACTCCTTGACCAGCAAGCCTGCCACCTGTCCCAATACCCACAGGAATAGGCTAAGAAATACACACCAGGCAACCAGTAAGTATACTATACCTTAAACCAATCCTATCTGTAGTTCAAGTCCAATACTTAGTATCTTCTAGTACATTTCCATTATGGGATCTAATAAAAATGAGTTCATCTACAAGGGCAGCATGCTAGCTCTGGGAAGAGCAGAGGGAAAACAAGGCAATGCCTGGCTCGAGGCACTTATAAGTATTTCAGTTCATGAGATGGAAGCACAAGCCTATGGCTGCCTTCTCCTTTTGAGCAGAAGAACAGAGAGATGAAATTTAGAGAAAAGCCATCTCCAGCCCATGCAAGCCCAAGCCACACACTAAGAGGGGCAGAAGTTTCTAGAAAGATAGGAGCGGTCTGGGTCCCTAGCGGTGCTGCTGCATCCCAAAGCTGTGTGTTTCTCAACTTCCTGTGACGTGATGTGGTAGTCAATCATCTTCCTCAGAGTTGTGGTTTTGGCAGCGATGTCCAGTGTTGACGCACATGAAACACACACAGGCTTCACAAGTTGAGGGAGAGAGAGAAAAGGACCCTACTTACGGTGCAACTCTCGCTGTTATCGGGCCTGTGAGGTAGGATGAAGGCCATGGGGTCTAAATCGCTGCAATACAAGGGTGTCCCGGATGCGTTTTTGCAGGTGGTCAGCACGATGAAGAAGTGGGTGGGGATCAGAACTTCCTGGTTTCGGATGATCCTGCCGTTCCTGTAAGATGCACCAACACTCAGCTTCCTTTGAACTGTAGCTATTCCATGTTTGTAGCACATAATGAATAGAGCCATCGTGGGGAGCTGGCACATGGACAGGACACATCTTTTTAGGTCCCTTTCCTCCAGTATCTCTCCTCATGTGCAGAAGGGCTACAGCTCTGCTTCCCATTGTTTGTTTTTATTTTTCTCTTTAATTTATTTATACTTTGGGTTTCCCTTATGAAAGAAGCCATATATGCTGGGCATGGTGATGCCTGCCTGTAATCTGTAATCCCAATACGGTACACAGGAGGCTGAGGCAGGAGGATTGTAATCTGTAATCCCAACACATGGGAGGCTGAGGCAGGAGGACTATAATCTGTAATCCCAACACAGCACACGAGAAGCTGAGGCAAGAGGATTGTTTTGATGGCAAAACCAGCCTGGACATCAGTAATTTCAAGGCTGGGCCAAACTACAAGTGAGACCCTGTTTCAAAAAACCAAACCAAACAAAATACACACAAAAAAAAATCATGCTACTGAAGCTTGTGTGTCTTATTTGTTTCACTTAACATGGATTCAAAATTCATCCATCTGCCCAAAAGGGACTCAGAGTCTCCGTTTTGGATCTGTGGCTCACTGGGCCCGAACAGAGAACATAGCATGAGCCCAGGCACGTGCTGCCGCCTGACCCTTGACAAAGGGGCCAACACCGTCGTTAAGAGATGGCCTTTTAGGAAGGCAGGACCTCAAGGACTAACTAATCAAGAGAGGGAAAGGAGATGAGCTAGGAAACATGGCAATGTTAAGCCAT